GTTGAAGCACACAAATTGCCAACAATTAATAAACGAGAATTGGCCAAGACAATCAGCTAAGTGCTTATTATTTTTTGCTACATACACATACACACACAAAAACGCACAGGCATTGGAAGGGGTAGAGCCGGCGGAATGGTCATTTAAATGAAGCCATTTCGATTCGATGTCGGGCTTTGCGATTTCAATTATCAGCCTTGTATCTGAGGGATGGCAGAGCAGAGCAGGGCGGGGCAGGGAGGGTGTTGCGACAGAGGAACATGCAACCGCCGATTAGCACGTGCCGCTCGTTCGAGTCGACCTGCCAGCGACACGTGACCTTAATGAGCCCGGGAGCAGTATCAGAAAATAAACATAATTATGCCAACTACGGGATGCAGCGGAACAGGGCGAATCCGATAAACGTCGCAAATCGGCAAACACGCAACAAGATTTGTCATCATCAAACAAAGTGGGCGTGAAAATTGCGGATGAAACCGGACGGAAAGGAGGCCCGGAACTGCGCTTGTTCAACAAAATGCGCCGCTACAGCTTCCTTACGCCGGATGCAATCATGTCGAGGCGTGTGCCAGTTCGCAAAAAAAATGAAACAAAAGCCATTATTTGCTTTTCCCAGGAACAAAAGAATTATGCAGTTGCAGATAATATTAAATGATATGATAAGGCATATGCTACTTGGAGAACATAATCCCAGCCTGAACAGGCAAAGAGCTTCGACTCCAGTCGAGTAAAGTCAAGTTCTCTGGGAGAGTTTTTCGTGTAGCTAATTTCGATGCGATTCGCGTATTTCACTTACCTCACTGTATTCCTGTTTGACCATCACGTAGCTGCCTGGCAGACGGCTGTCTTCGTTGTCCTGCCTTCATTACGCTTTAATTTGGATGACTTCTTGAGTCTGGAGTGGCTCGCTTTGTGTGTGACAGACTGCCTCTGTCTGGCTCTCAGTGATTTCATTTGGACCAGGTCCACTTGCTATTCATATTGCGGGCTACAAACTAATCATGTCCCCATCGCCATGCATTATTTTGTGCGCATTTTCTGATTGCCAAAATCGCCAGAGAAATCAGCAAAGTGCGTCGCAACAAAACGACAACCAAATGTAGGCAGGGCTCATGCTGATGATGTTGAAAGTTGCTGCTCTTGCAAGGATAATCTTACTATTGAAATAAATTCTAAGTGGAAACAGTGATGGGATAATTAATGATCTTGATTAAAAGAGTTTCTCACTCTCTTGATTTGAGTTCATTCGGTTTTCGGGTCATCAAATATAAGAAAGGCACAAAATGAAAATGAACAAGTCGAAATGGCTAATAAATCCATTGGAAATGGTATAGGATGGCTTAGCCAGATATTGGCAGACAATGTAGAAGTTCTAGTCCTGAAGAGAAATATGGAACATAAGAAACTGCTGTCTATGCCTATTCATAATAATAAATAATAATGTACATAAGCTATTACGATTATTATATTTCTATATGTTATATGAATATATGCCTATCCTAATATCAGTTACTCACTCTACCTATTTCTCCGCCTGCCTCTCAGTCTGTCTGCCTAACAAAAGCCAGGGACGAGGAAGAGCAATAGAAGATCAAGATCAAGCTTATATGTATGCAGCGTTAATCAATTGGTGTTTATATTTAAGTAAAGGGGAGTTAGGATGCTTGAAGCAGAGAGAGAGAGAGAGAGAGAGAGAGAGAGAGAGAGAGAGAGAGAGAGAGA